GGTTTTGTCTTACAGGGGCCCCCTCACAAATGTGCCTTAATTTTCGCAGATAACAGTGGAGTAGACGTCATTTTGGGAGTCTTCCCCTTTGTCAGGGAGCTTCTCTCTAGAGGGACGGAGGTGAGTGTGGAGGGCAGCGTGGCGGGTCCCTTGCCCAGCTCCTGTGCTCGGTGGGGTTGGCGTCGCCCTGGGCCCCTCCATGTGCAGGTAGGTGCCGGGTAGGCAGTGGCACGGCAGGAGCAGAGGAGGAGGCCTGGCCGGTCACATCCTGGGGCTTAGGTCAGCCTGACCGCGGGGCCCTGGGGCCGTCTCCATCCTGCCCCCGAGAGCCGGCTCAGCCGTGAGAGGTCGCCGGAGGCCGTGCTCCTCCGCCGGCAGCCCCAGGTGGGTGGGTGGGTGGCGGGCGGGCAGGCGGGCGAGCCCAGGCTGGCTCGGTACTGCCGGCAGCCGAGGTCCCTAAGGAGCCCGGGCGTCCTGCCGCAGGTCATCCTGGCGTGCAACTCGGGACCCGCCTTGAACGACGTGACCTACAGCGAGTCCCTCATCGTGGCCGAGCGCATCGCGGCCATGGACCCCGTCGTCCGGTAAGCTGGGCAGGAGGCTGGGGCCCGGCGTGGCGAGGCGGGGGCGCAGCGGGGCGGCTTCCTGGGGCGCCGCCTCACGGGTGACGACCCCTGTGCTCGGCAGCTCGGCGCTCAGAGAAGGGAGGCTGCTGCTCATGCAGACTGGCTCCAGCTCCCCGTGTCTCGACCTCAGGTATGTGGCCCCTCTGCCCCCGGGTACCCCTGGTCCCCGGCGGAAGTCAGCTGTGCCAGCCGCAGCCCCCGGGCAGGGTCCAGGCACCTCTTCCCTCGGGACCCTGGGAGGAAGCAGCAGGGGGGCCGTGTCCCCACCTCGGATGATTATCCTTTGGATAATCAGGTCGTCACGCTAGTGCTTTCCACCCTGGGGCTTCTAGAACCTGGAGCGGCCCGTGTGAAGGAGGGCACGTCTGGGCTCTGGGACCATTAGCCTCTCAGTCTGTTCGAGTGCTGATCTCCAGTGTTGACTTAATCCCCTTCCAGGTCCACTATTAACCAACAAGGAGGGACAATAAAAAGCTCTAGAAAGGACTCAGATTCTTTAAAGTTCAAAATACAAAAGTATCATTAAGGCCCAGTTTTCAGAACTGGCTTCCTTGTAGCGACGGGAGCGCAGCTGCCAGGGGTCCCTAAGACCCTGGGCCCCGGGCCCCGGGAGGGCAGCTGCCGGGCTGGCTGTCCGGGGAGCAGGCTGGACCCAGGGCCCACGTAGTTGGGGGGTGCCGAGGGTCGGGGGTCTCCGGCGTTCCCGCCAGTCGCCGCCCTTGGCTGGAGGCAGGGTGTGGCGTCTGCCCCGGGTGCAGCTCAGTGCAGGGTGCCAGGCCCCCCGCCTGCACCCTCCTCACTGCCCCCTTCCTCCCCGAAGCCGCCTGGACAAGGGGCTGGCCGTGCTGGTGCGGGAGCGCGGCGCCGACCTGGTGGTCATCGAGGGCATGGGCCGCGCCGTCCACACCAACTACCACGCGGCCCTGCGCTGTGAGAGCCTCAAGCTGGCCGTCATCAAGAACTCGTGGCTGGCCGAGCGGCTGGGTGGCCGGCTCTTCAGCGTCATCTTCAAGTACGAGGTCCCGGCCGAGTGAGGCGCCACCGCCGCCAGGCTGCTCTGCCCGTCGCCTCAGGAACGTATCTCGACTGCAACGGGGACCCGCGTTCAAATCAGAATATTTATATTGTGCTTCTGTGAGAGAGCCGGCTGCACCCAGGTGTGGGCTCAGCGCTCGTGGCCTCGGGCTTGGTGTTTCTTCAGTGCTGACGTGTTCGTGGTGGGGAGACACGACTTTTGTCCCGTGAGACGTTCTTATTGGAATATATTTAACTGTTAAATAATCTTTTATATATATATACATATATACATATATATATATATATATATATATATAAATATAAATATATACGTATACGCCTCTGACAGGACGCTGAGGTCAGGGCACAGCAAGTAGTTTCCAGAGTGAGAACAGAGCATTTCTGCCTTTGCTATTTGGTGTGAGGGTGGGCAGCCCCCACCCTGGGGGCCCTGCCCACGCCTCCCCCAGGGAGCCCAGCAGTGGGGTCTCTCCCTAGGTGATCTCTAGAACTCTTAGGCCCACCTTGGCCCGTGGGCCATGGCCGCTGCCCTGTCACGTGGCCTCCGGCATCGCTCCCCGGCGTGTCCATCTGGAGAAGGCCTCCCCCTGCGCCCCTGCCCCGCCTGGCCCCGCTACGCACGGGAAGGACAGACAGGCTGCTGAGAGGAGGCCACGGGCTTCGAGGGCCCTCGAGGACTTTCAGGGACTTGGTGGCTGGTCCAGTCCTCTCCTGCTCGGTGCATCTCAGACCACGTGGGTTCTGTCGCCACGGCCTTGAGCCCATGCCCAGAGCCCTGCCTGACGGCAGGCGGGTGGGGGGTTCACTAGGCCCGGTGATGGAGGTGCTGCGAGATGACGGGGGCTCCTCCCCCGCTGGACCGTCCCTCGGGGTGCAGACCTGAGCCTCAGATGCCACATCGCGGCAGGAGAACTGGCCACGGAGCTGCGAGGCCGCCTGTGTGTGCCATCGGTCTCAGGAACGAAGAGCTGCGCGGGGGCCCTGCTGCTGTGCCACCGGGCCCTATGCACTGAGGAAGCCCCACTGCCCAGCACCCAGGTCCCTCACTGCTGGAGCACCCAGCAACGTGAGGACGGGTGGGATGAGGAAGGCCAGCGGGGCTGCCCCTGCAGGGACCTGAGCCCCGCCCTCTTTGCCCAAGACCCCCTCGCACTTGCCCTGCTGGGCCAGGGAAACTGGGGCCCTGCACCCCCTTCCGGGAGGCTGAGCTCAGTGGTCTGGGACCTGCACTGAACCTCAGAGGGTGCTCAACCTGTCCTGCACCACAGCAGCCCCCCCGGGTGACCCATGTGCTGCACCCCACTCCTGGATGGACGAGCCTCAAAGCACTTGCTCTGTCGGCAGAGAGGGCCCTGACCTTCCTGTGAGCAGCCGCCAGGGGCAGCAGGGGGCACAGCCGTCTAGAGGGCATAGGCTAGGCCTATCCAGTGGGTGGTCCCTGTGATCCCCTTTCCGCGAAGGCTCACCCACCTTGACCCCATCACAGCCCCTTGCTACCCCCCCCCCCAAGCCTGCACCCAATCACGGCTCAGCTTCCTGTGGTCGCCTCTATGAGGCCTGGCCTGGCCCCTCTTCTGTCCAGGCCACCCTCTGTCCTCCCATCCCTGGTGGCGGAGCAGCATCGTCCTAGCTGGTCTGGGGCTCCCTGTGCAGGGCATGCCCTGCCCAGACACCCGGGAGGACTCCAGAGGTCCAATCAGCCCAGCTCGGCCTGTGTCATGACGCCTCGCTGGGCCTCCCTCCTGTCAGGCCCTGGCGCTCCCCTGAGGGTCCCTGGACAGGCGGGGGGAGCCTGCGGTGGCCCCACAGTGAGTAGGGCACCAGGGCTCCGAGCACCTGCCCTGCCCTCAGGTACCCCTCTTACGATGCCCTGTCCCTTTCTCAGCTGGGACATAAAGGGTCTGGGCCTCCCAGCAGCTGAGGGCATCCCCTGGGAGGTAACGGAACAAAAGGCAGCACCCACCTGGGGCTGGAGAAGGGCAGACCCCCCCACCCCATATCTTGTGAGCCCTGGCAGATTGCCCCAGGCTGTGTCTTTCCCTGCCCCCCGCCTCCCCTTCACTTCCCCCAAGATTCTAGGAGCCCAGACGCAGTGCCGTGGGGACCCCTCGCTTTCGGGGTTGGGCCACAGCTACCCCAGGCTGAGCTCCCCCAACCAGAGAGGGAGGAGGAGGGCCTTCCCGGTTCTGAGGGGCCTGACTGGTCCTGAGAGGAAAGTGGCACTGGCACAACTGCCCATCCCCCAGGCCTTTGCTGAGTTTGGGCAAGCGGCCGGGGTGGGTCCCTGGCGCCTACGAGGGACACAGCAAGAGACAGACCCCCACAGAGCGCCTGGCGCCCACCAACACCCAGCCTTTCAGGCGCCTTGCCCGGCGCCCACCGTCCCCGGGGCCTCCGACCCTGGATGGTAGGGCTGATCCTGATGCGGGCCCGGGGCTTCCCCGAGCTGAGCCGTGGGTGGGCTGCCCCCAGCCCCTGCCTGTTGTACCAAGAGAGGCCACCCTTGGGGTGGCCTCTGACACCTCAGCTGGCTTCAGTGCAGGCCAGGTGCCCGGGTGGGGAGGGCAGTCAGCTCTCCAGCTTCTCGAGGGAGGGGGCGGCCCTGGTGGTCCTCTGTGCGCAGAGACTCCGGGAGCAACAGCCCCACAGCTGGGGACCCTCTGGCCTGGGGCCCTGCCAGGGCCAATGTCTGCCCCCGATAAGTGGGGTGGGAGAGAGGGAGGGAAAGAACAGGGGTGTGTTCGGGGCTTGTGGCCCTGACCCTGGGCGCGGTCCAGCCAAGCCATCTGCGGGCAGAGGGTGGGGGGGGGGCCATCTTCTGGGTTCCGGCCCCGCGACACCGGGTACGCGGCCACAGAGGGAGCCCACTCGGAGCAAGCGCAAGCGTGTTTATTGGAGCTGTGTTCGGGAGTTTACAAGAGTCTACAACGTCCCCTCCAGAGCAGGGTGTGTGCAGAGCAGGCCAGCAGTCGGGGCGGGGATGGCCACGCTCCAGGCCACTCTGGGCGCCTCGCGTGGTAGGGCGCGGCAGACGTGCGCCCGCACACGCCCCGCAGCCGAAACCAGGGGAAAGTGGAAAAGGACACGGCACCGTTTTCTTATCGTAGAAGCTTTGCCTCTCAAAATTTAAATCTCTCTCTATGTGTACGTGGATCTTAAAAGATCGTGAAAACTCTGCCCTGCCCCAGGGTGGGCCCCTTCCTCCCAGGAGGAGGGGCAGGGCCGAGGGGCACAGCCACACCGGACAGGCGGGCAGCCTCGACTCGAGGGTGGCGGCAGCTCTGCATCCTGAGCAAACGTGGGCCTCGCCCAGCCCTAGGCTGCAGGGAGGGCGGCTCAGAGCCTCAGCAGGCGGCCAGTGGCGGCAGCACCTGACAGCTGGTCGGTGGCGCCCTTGGCGGGGGCCGGCACATCCCCACAGCCCTCTTGGCCCACGCAGCAGGCGCCCTCAGGGGTGCCCCGCTCCTCCTCTGGGGGGCCCCTCGGGCCCTGCAGCCGCTGCTGCCGCTCCTGCCGCTCCTGGGCCCGGCGGGCCAGGCTGGCGATGGCGCGCACACGGCTCCGCCTGCGGGAGGAGGAACGCCGCCCCCCCACCGCCCCCTCCCCAGCCGGGACCTCCGCTGCCCCCTCCCCAGCCGGGCCCCCGCTGGTGGACAACGTGATGCCCCCAGCCTGCTGGAACCCCGTGAGCCTGCGCAGCTGCTCCATCAGGGCGTCCGGCCGTGCCCCCGACCCTGCCGCCGGGGGGGGGGGGGGGGCAACGTCATCCGCAGTCAGGTCCCCGAGGCTCTTGGACTTGGCAGCCACAGTGCAGTCTGGGAGGCCCACCAGGTGGCGGGCCCAGGGTGGCCATGGGGCCAGGGGCGGGGCTGCAGCTCATCAGGCTCCACAGGCAGCTGGCCAGCAGCCTGCAGGTTGGGGTTGGATTTGCTCTTGGTCACAGCAGGCAGGTCCAGGCGGGCGGCCGAGGCCAAGCAGGGCCACAGGGGCAGGCGTCCCGCCGGGGCCCCTGGGAGGCTCTCAAGTCCCAAGCCCAGGCCCTGCAGGGAGAGGTCGACGACCGTGTCACCAGACGACAGGCTGGAGAACGAGGACGCGCTGCCACAGTGTCTGCCGCCTGGCCAGGGGCCACCGTCCACCCAGGGACTCCGAGGGGACCTGCCCCTCGCTCTTGGCCCTTCTGAGCACATGGCCCAGAGCCCGGGGGTGGCCCCTGCCGTCCATCTGGCTACCAGGGGCCCCGTTGCAGGCCCCAGCAGGGCCCCCGCCATGGCACGCCCACTGCCTGCTTTCGGGGGCTGGCTCAGCGTTCCCTTGGCTCCCGGTCCCGAGCTGGAGGGGCCTGGAAGCTCCCAGAGCCGCCCCTGGGGGGCTCGCCGAGCTGGTGCTGGGCCCCGCAGAGCACTGGGGCCCTCCAGGGGCGTGGCTGGGGGAGACAGCCCCCGGCGGTGGGGGGCCAGGACCCCGCGCTGGTTTCCAGGCTGCACAGGGAGGAGATGGGGTGGGCGTCTGCGGGGAGAGGCGGATGCCAGGGGTGCCCGCGGGGCTCCAGGCCCCCCCACGCGCTCACAGCTGCCCCCACCCTGCCCTCCCGCTCCGCTGCTGCCGGGGGAAGAGAGGGGCCCGGGCGCACAGGCAGGGCCCCCCTGGGGCCCCGTTACCTGGCACTCGGCCGCTCTCAGTCCCTGACTAGGAGGCAGCGTAGGGACAGAAAGAAGAGGGTGGTCAGCGCCGGGGCGGGGCCGGCCGTGGACAGACGGGCGCGAGGCGGGCCGGGTACAGAGGGGGCGCGGGAGGGTGGCCCGGCTTCCAGCATGCCCTCCCCGGGCTCGGAGTGCTCCCTGTGACCAGGGGCCACAGGCAGTTCTGTCATGACCAGCCCTGGGGCCGGGGTGGGGGGGTCCAGAGCACAGCTGCTCATACGTGCGTCCCCGGGGCCAAGGGCCACGGTCAAGCTGCTCCCCTCACACTTTGCAAACAGAGGCCTCTACGTCGAGACTCTGAGCCCCGGCCAGGAACCCAGGCCAGACTCCCCAGAGGACTGCGGTGCTGGCCAGGGGCCAGGGGGAGGCAGGAGGAGGGCCTGGAAGCTGCCCCCAGGCCCTGGCGGTCAGGCTGGGCTCCAGAGGCCGCCCTTTGGGCTGCAGGCCTCGGCAAGCGGACCCGGCTCAGACTCCCCGGTCCCCAGCCCGGGGTGAGGACGGCCGCGGCCAGAGCTGCAATCACTTTCCCAGCCCCTGGGGGGCATTGGGGGCCTGTGGGGCAAATCACGGTCAGACAGGGGTCTGGGGGCTGAGGGGCCCATGGGGCCAGCCAGTGGAGCGAGGAAACGAAGGCCAGCGAGCACACAGAGGCCACGGTTCTGGACACGGACGCGCAGCGGGGACGCCAGCCAGGCCATGCGGGGGTAGCGTGGGAGCCACGACGGGGACGCCCCAGAGGAGCGTCTGGGCTTACCGGTGGAGGGCACGGGGGGCTTACTCCTAATCTCCTGCAGCTTCTGAAGGAACAGGGCGTTCATCTCCCTCTGCAGGGCCCCCGCCTGCCTGCGGGCGCCCTCGGGCCAGCAGGGGGTCCCCTCGGGGCTGCCCGGGCTGCTGGAGTCTGAGGACACGAAGCCGCGGCCGCCCGGCCCCGGCTGCCGGGACCCAGGGCCCTTGGGGGCCCCTCTGCTTCTCCCGGAGGCAGTGTGGGGCGCCCCCAGCGAGCCCGCCCAGGCGCGGGGCTGCTGGCTGATGGCCGCGTGCCTGCTCTCGGGCCCTGGGCTGGGCAGCTGCCCCCTCCGCAGGCCCTCGGCGTCCTCGCCGGCGCAGGAGCCCACCACGCACTTCATGCAGGTGGTGGCCATCCTGGCAGACCCAGGGCCCTCGGGGGCCCGCAGAGGCCGCACCTGCACCGGGCTCCTTTCCACCGGTGCCTTACCTCGAGGGCTGCGGCTGCCCAGCTCCTCCAGGGCCGGGGCCTCGGGAGTGGGGCCGGGGCTGGAAGGTGCCGCGTCGCTGGCCTCCCCCTCAGAGCCCAGGTCCTGCGGGCCCAGGACCAGCTCTGGGGAGGCCTTGCGGCCTGGCTTCTGACTCTTGGTTGGGGCGCTGGCCGTGCGCCGCAGGAGCCGCTGGCTAACAGAGAGCCGGGGCGGGGGCCGCCCAGCAGCATGACTGTCCAGGGAGCCGGGCTTTGGGCCTCGGAGGAACAGGCCTTTTAGGCCCAGAGCCTGCTTGACCTGCAAGAGAAGGAGATACATAGCCGACAGCTGGGCACCGGGGGCCGGAGACTGCCCAGCCCTGTCCAGCTGTGCTCCGGAGGCCGTGGCCCGGGAGAGCCTGCTGCGGCCCGACGGGCCTGCTCGCTTGGGGCACCACTCAGGGCTGTGTGTAAGGAGGACGGTCTCCAGGGAGGCTCTACCAGGGGCGGCGGAGGCTGTGGCCTCAGCACAGCGTGGACGGCGCCTGCCTGCACCAGGGTGGAGGGAGTGGGCACTGGCAGAGGGTCTGTGGCTCTCAGGGCAGGTGGCCAGGGAGTGCTGGAGCGGGGAGGCCCCCCCAGGGTCTCCCAAGCAGAGACCTGGACCCCAGCCCTGTGCCCAGCGCACTCTTCACCCCTCCAGCCCCTGGGGCCCCAGCTCTGGCAGGGCAGACTGGCACGGGGCCCCCAGGGTGGCCCTGGTGTGGAGAGCAAGACGGGGTGTGAACCAGACGGAGCATCGGTCCCGCCCGCCCCCAGGCGCCACGGCCAAGGAAGCAAGCACAGCCAGGTGCAGCCCCACGGTCGGCTCACCCATGCTCCTGCCCGGCCCTCTCCCCTGGAGGTGCTGCCTCTTCCGGGGAGCCTTTCCAGATGCCTGCCAGGCAGTCCTTCCCAGACGGCCGGGCCCGGGAGGCCCCTACAAAGCCTCTCCCCGCAGCCTCCCGGCCTGAGGACGGCAGCCAGGGTCCCCAGGACCGGCTGGCACGTGCCTGGGTCAACACCGGAGAGGCCGGCAGGGTCCTCACATGCAGAGACCCTGGAGACAGCCACAGTCCCCGCGACACGGGGGCACGTCTGGGCAGAGGCGTTAGTGGCCAGCACTTGAATCAGCTGTCTGATTCAAGATCCCAAATCCAGAGCAATTTGGTCAAAGTTGGCTAGAAGGTCCAGAATTCAAGCTCGGAGCTCCTGGTCCCTGGGATCTACCCTGCCCCCCACCCCCACCCCCCCCTCCACTTCAGAATATGGCACCCCGCCCAGCCGGCCAAGCGTTAAGTGATGTGCTTATCCTCAAGAGCAGCTCCGGGTGTCTTTTTAATGTAGAGAAAACCAAGTAAGGTGACAGTTTAAGGAGAAAAAAATATATAGAATACCAGAAAAGCCGTTTACCCGGAGAATTTTTTTCTCCCCATTTTTGTTTTGTTTTTACTCGGTGACACAATTTTTAGTTTTATTTCCTGATAGCAAAAGGAAAAAAACCCAACCCTCAAAAAGGCCAAGGCCCCGTCCCCCTGTTGTTGGTGATTTGTCTTTCTGATAGGTTGAAAATTGTGTAATAAACTTGATGACACTGTCAATCTTTTATACTGCATTGTATTTTTTTTCCTTTTGTAACAAAATATTTTTAAATAATAAATGGGGTGTGAGCTGTTTCACGGATTCTGCATTGAATAGATTTGTTGAGGTGTCTGGGACATGGGTGCGGGCTGATGTAGAGGCTTTGGGAGGGGTGTGAATCCCTGAGTTCTCAGCTGGAATTGCACGGTGGGCGTGTGTAGTGCGTGTGGTACTACTCCTAGGAGACCTCGTGTGAACCTTTGGAGGTGCCCCTTGAGGTTTAGCTTTTTTCCTTAGCCATCTAAACAGCCTAGTTAATTCCAAGTCATGGGATCTCCCCTGCCCCCCACCCCCCCCCCCCCCCGTCCCCCTCCAGCACTGGGCGTGGAAGCACAGACAGATCAGAGGGGCACACAGGCAGGCGGAGCGCAGAGGGAAGGGTGGGGAGAGGGAGAGGGCACGGGTACTGGAAGGGCCGGCAGCTAGAGGACCGGACACAGGGAGGCGCAGGGCAGGGCGGGGGGTGGGGGAGGTGCAGGAGTTGGAAAGGCCAAGGGTAGGAGGAGATGGGCCAGACCTCGGGGCGGACACACAGGAGGCCTGGCTGAGGTCCTGGACCTGCCTCGTAAATGCTGCTCTGTGCCTGAGGATGGCCCAGGGGACCCGGAACCACGTCCCAACCCATGTCACATGAGCTGACAGTCTCCAAAATGCTACCAGGAATTCACGGATGCTAACAGGGTGGCCTGAGCATGCAGGTGGGGGGCGGGCAGGCCACGCCGCCCCCGTGCTGGGGTACCTTCGAGCTCCTAACAGGGTCGTGCTTCTAAAAGTAGACTTTGGACATACAGAAGCCCACTGCAAGACCAAAGAGACAGAGTGAGGCCGTGAGACACGAACAGCGGGCGTGGAGCGCGGAGACGGAGACACAGGACCGACAGGGTGACCACGGACGCACAACGGAGCTGGGAGGCCTGCGGGGCCTCCATCAGCAGCACCCAGGGCCGAGGAACACGGTAGGAGAGAGACGGTTAGTGCCGGAAGCCACGTGGACCCCCGTGTGTGCCTGACAGACCACCGCGTGCAGCCTTGCTAGGCCCCAAACTTAGAACCAGGGACCCCTGGGCTCTGCAGACTGGGGAGGTCGGAGTGAGACCCCATCCTGGGGCGAATGTACCGGGAGCAGGTGAGGGATGGGGCAAAGCCAGGCAGACGCCTTCGAGGAGGGACAGAGAGCCAGGGGACCCCAAGCAGTAGAAGGGGAGGCTCAGGAGAGACGGGAGGGGCCAGGGCTGCCCAGGAAGGGCCATGGCTTCCATATGCTGGTGGCCACACTGGCCCCGGGACATAGAGGCGCGCCCGGGGGCCCCGCCACTCATTTCGTGGATGGAGACACAGGCCCGTCAAGGTAAGCACTAGGCCTCATGGCCCCAGGGACAGAGATGGGGTGGGGCTGGGGCATGGGGCTGGGGCATGGGGCTGGGGCACCCCTTCCCAACAGCAAGTGACCTTGCAGGTGGCACTCACCTTACCACTAATGTCACTGACGGCCACGTGGACAAAGATGGAGGCCTCTTCCATTCCCTCCAGGTACACGTGCCGATAGCCTGAAACAGCCGGGGTCATGCTCACCACGGCTCCTACCCACCCACGTCCCCCGCACTCTACTTAAAGGTCCCAAAGCCCTGAGTACAACCTGTGAGCCCGGTCCTGGGGCTGCTACCTCCTCCAGAAAGCCTGCCAGGATGGCTCTCGCCTGCAGAGCAACCATCTTCTGGGGGCTAAGGGGCTCCGCAGCTGGTGCTACCCTCCCCCACCCTGACCACAAAGTGCCGTGGCCTTGAACCCTCCTCCTCAGCTCCCTCGGTATCCCCAGGCCCACCCGTGGCAGAAGGCGACTCGCAGGAGGAAGCTGAGCCCCACCCTGTCCTGGCGTCCTCTGCTGGCCTGTGGGGGACACGCTACGGGGGGCACTGGCCCAGGGCTCTGCCCTCCCCCACCCCCACTGGCCCCCAGCCCACCTGGCATCATGCTGCTGAAGGCCAGCGTCCTCTGGCCTATGAAGTCACGCCCAATGGGGTCATGGTCCCAGACGAGGAAGCGCACCAGCGCTATCTCAGGCATGTGCACCGTGAACACCAGGGTCTCCTCCCACATGGGGTTGAATCCTGGAGGCCACCAGGAGGAGGTGTCTGTCACCTTTGCCCCACCCCCACCTCTCAGACAGGCCAGTCCCGTCCACACCACAGCTCCAGCCTGGAGGCCACATGGGCCCACACCCTCTCCCAGCACCTCCTCCTGGGCTGGCCACCGGCTGAAAGAAGCAACAGCGGAAGGCCAGGCGGCTGTCACTGGGCGTACAGCCGAGGGGGCATCCTGGACAGTTATGCGGGTCACAGGCGGTGGCCCTCACCCTTCCCTTCCCGGTCAGACTGGTGTCAGCAGCACAGGAGCTGTGACGGGGCCTCAGGGCACAGGCCGGCCTCTGGGCGCCCCCGGCCCTCCCGCGTCCTCACCGTTGTCGTCCACCACGCGCGTCTGCTCCTTGCTGCAGTCCACGGGAAGCCCAATGACCTCCACCTCCACGAAGGGGTCGATGATCTGGCACACAGTGCAGGGTGGCACCGGGGCCTGGGCCAACAGCCCGGCCCTCCCTGGCCCCCCAGGCCCTCCCTCCTACCTCCCCTCGGTCCCCCAGCATGGAGTCCCGCGGCTTGGGGAGCTGCTGTCCACTGATGATCCGAAGCACCAGCTGCTTCTTGAGCTGACCGGGCAAAGGGTCCTCGGAGTTGGGGTTGAAGACGCCTGAGGGGGGCCAGGGTGAGACTGAGCGGGCAGGGCAAACCCACCACCGGCTCCCGGGGCAGCCCCAGTGCATCCACTCCCACCTCCACCCCATCCACTGGATGGGAGCCCCGGTTGCGGGAGGGGGAGGGGAGGCAGCCTTCCAGGGCAGGGGTGGGCGCCGGGGGCCGTAGGCCGGTCGCCTCTGCGGCCTCCCCATGATGTGGGCCCAGCTCGCGCCTCCCACAGGTGGACCACGGGGGCTCAGTGCGAGGCCACACCGCCTCTGGGTGGGGGGCCGGGTGCCTGGGGACAGGGTCCAGGGTGGGGGGCCTGGGGCTGCGCACGTCGATAACTCGAAGAGGCCACTGCAGATAAACGCTGCACAGCACGAGCCGAGAGGCACGTGGGAGGACTGGTTCGGGTTACGACGGGAAGAAACCCACAAGTCATTTTCAGCACATCGGGGAGAAAACTGAGGTGACCGAGAAGGGAGGAAGTGCCGGGCAGACCTCACCCAAGGGTGCCGCGCCCGGGGACCCTCGCGCTGGGGCAGCGTGGGGAGGCGCCGCAGATGCCCGGCAGGTGGCGGCGCTTCCCTGTGCCCCAGCCTGACCCGCCAGGTGGCCTCGCCGTGGCCGCCCCCTGCCACCCCCGTGCAGCAGCCCCCACCCCCGTGTCCCCGTCCTGGGGCCACAGCCTCACCCTGGCACATGCACTGGGGCTTGAGCACGTAGCCACAGCTGCCGTTGGCACTGAACTTGGCCCGGTTCAGCTGGAGCATCCGCCCCTCCGACTGGTAGTTCAGGGCGACTGTGGGGAAGGATGTGAGGTGGCTGGCTCAGCGCCCAGCCCGTGTGTCCCGCCCCACCGCTTCCTGTGAGCCCACGTCCACTACGTGAGCAGGGGCCCTGGGGCTCACGTCGGGCACAACCAGGGCCGTGGGTCCCGGCAGGACTTCCCGCAGAGCCGGCACAGCGGCCCCGCGCACCTGAGGAGCCTGGATGTGCACCTGTGTCTTTCCCACCTTGCCCTGGGGTCCTAAGGCCCCCGCCCCAGCGGCCCCCACCCCGGTGCCATCCTGGTGAAGTTGGCTGGATGCCGCGAACGTTCTCCAGAGCCAAGGGCGAGCAGAGAGGCTGCGGAGACCCCAGCTGCACCCCCTCAGCAGCCCGGCCGCCCCAGGCCCGGCACCCACCCATCTGGCAGCCGGTGTTCCAGAAGGGCTGAGGGTTGTAGTTGCTGGAATCCACTCGGTAGGAGGAGGGGTAGATGCGGGAGAGCTGGTGCTGGTTGAATCGCAGGTACTGGGCCGGCTTCTGCTGCAGGATCTGCTGGGCCTTGGTCTCGCTGAAGGAAGACACCTGCCAGCTGGATGCCACTGCCGGGTGAGACGGGCGGCGTCAGGGCACCGGGTCGGCCACCCCCCCAGGGCCCCGACTCCCCCCCCCAGGGGCCCCTCACCCTCCATCTCCACGTCGTGGATGCCCACAGACTTGGTGTATTTGACCAGGTCCGAGAGGGCCCGGGACAGCTTCACGGTCTTCTTCTGCCGGGCGGCCCTGCGGGAGGGCTGGGGTCAGGACCTGGGTCGCACGCCTCCCTGTTCAGCCTCCGGGGAGCGTCCCTCAGGCGTCCACCACGCCCCCGTGTTCCAGGCGTCGGGACATGCGGCGGACGTGCTGAGAGGTGGCACTGGGGGAGGGGGCAGTGGCCGACCGTGACAGCTGCTACAGAAACGAGCACGGGGACCCGCGCTGGCCAGTCTGGGCCCGCACCCCGGGGTCCCTGCCCTGGGCCCCCACGGCCGCTCCCCACCATGCGGGTCCCTGAGCCTGCGCGTCTGATGCCGACTGTTGCCAGGACAACGGTCTCAGCGCGTGCTGCCGCGCTGCCTCTCAGGGGCCCGGCATGGAGGCAGGGCACTGACCCTCGGCTCTGGCTGCCCTGGGAGTCCGGGCCCTCGTCCGCCTCCTCCACGCTGGCCGCTTTCTTCAGCTTGCCACTCTTTTTCTGTGCAGAACCAGGGCAGAGTCGGGACTGCTGGAGCGCCAGGCTCAGCCGGGCCGTCTGCAGAGGCCAGGACGCTGCGACGGAAGGGCCTGCAGCCCTGGGGTCCCGGCGCCCACCCTGCAGCCGGGCCTGCCCCCTCCTCTGCAGTGCCCTGCTTGGCCCGGGCCCTGGGTGACCTGCACTCCGGGCGTCGACCAGCGTGGACCAGGGGAGGGCCATCGAGGCAACCTGCTCCATCCGGCCCCGACCAGGGCCTCAGGAATCCCAGAGGCCCCCGGTCCTGGAGGAGACCCCCCAACTCCGGCTGGCGCACGTGGGGGCAGGGAGCCCGCCTGGGAGCCCGCCTGGGAGCCCGGCGGACCTTGCCCTTCGAGAAGCTGCCCGCGAGGAGCCGGCTGTTCTGTCTGCTGGTTCTGGCCTCCTCGGCCTGGGAGGAGAGACAGACAGCGGGGCTGGGGTGAGCCCGGCCTCAGACCTGGGCTGGGATGGGCAGCTCCCCCCAGAGGCCCCAGGCCGCCTTCCTGGCAGGGAGGGAGCTGCGAGGGGCGTGGAGGATGTGGGGAGCCGGGCCCCAGGCTGCTGGGAGCAGAGGCCTGAGAACAGTGCTCGCTCGCACGCCCGTATCAGCTCCCCACCATGTGCCATTCGACACTCCTCAAGTGCCTAGTCTTGATTTTTTCCCATGGATGGTGACGGCCTAATAAATGCCGCTTGTGTGTCCGGAACATTCCTCGGCGTGCCCGCTTAGGTAATCCTCACACGGGGATCCCGCAGCTCAGGAGTCCCCGCCTGCTTCTTGCAGCGGCAAAGCTATTACCTACGTAGACAGTCCCCTGGGCTGTGGCCTTTTGCCGTTACCGTTTGCACTCGGGGCTACGGTGACCCTCCTGAGGCTGCAGGACCAGCTTCTTTGCTGCTGTTTACAGAACATGCGCGTTGGCGGCTCCCCTCCTGCCCCCACCCAAGGGGCCCCCGGTCCTGGCGGCACCCCGGCCTGTCCCTCCCCGCTCTGGGGCCGAGGCACAAAGCTCTCATCCATCCTGAAGCTCAGTCACACCTCTGGAGAGGCTGGGAGTCTGTGCCAGCGTCTCCGAGGTCCCTCGTCACAGCCGTCACCAGCCGCCCCCTAGCCCCTTCCACAGATGCCCCCCCGCCCCCGAACTCTCCCAACTTTGCTCAGGACGTGCCCACCAGGGCGGGAGCCAGCTTCGCAGCCGAGGTTCCCTGTCAAGGGGGGGCTTCAGCCACGGGCACACACATCTGCACACGCACTCTGCGTGCACCCCCACGTGAGCTTGTGCGCACCCCCCTGTGGGCGCCCCTGCGCGCACACGCCTCCCTCGGCCATGCCCCTGCCTGGCTCGCTGGCCTCACCCAGAAAATGAGGAGAACCCCTCAGATCTGGGCTCCGGCCCCCGAGTGGGAGATGAGAGGCCCCCCAGGCCCGGCCAAGGAGGGCAGAGGGGTAGAGACAACCACGGGGCCATCCCCAACCCCCTCCTCCGCCCCCTGGGGAGTGCTGTCTCCCACCCGCTGGCTGGCTGCCCGGAGGGGCGCTGGTCCAGAGCCCAAGGTGCAGCAACGGAGGCGCTCAGAAAACCCGCGAGCTGGCAGAGGGCGGGAAGCCGTGTTCATGGTGTGTCAGGAGCCGGCGGGGTTGATGCACCCCTTGGCTCTTTACACCCCGTGGTCACCCAGCACACGAGCACCCCTGAACCTGGCCACAAGCGCGGAGAGGCGCCTGCTGGCCCAGATCCTGGAAAAGTGCTGCGGCCACAGCCAGAATCTGCTGTCACCCACCCCCACCGCGCGCACCCCAAGCTCAGCACGGGAGGCAGCACCCGCGTGCCGTCCTCGGGGGGTGTGGGAAGCCCCTCCCACCAGGACACAGCACCTGATGAGCCTCGTGCCACTGGGGTCTGCAGGGCCCACCGGCACCCTCCTGGCCCCAGCTGCCCCGCCCATCACAGCCCGCGCAGGGCGCCGGCTTTCGTGCCACTCGGCTGATGTGGCCACATCTCCAGTGTTTACCGGCCCCTCCAGACGGCCCCACAACTGCTCAGCCGCACTGGCCCGGCCCCCATATGCTTCACGTCCGCCTTGACGGCCCCCACACTGTTCTCCCACAGAGGAACCTCCCAGAGCTCAGCGGCCCTTCCCTATGCGGCTGGAGGGCCTCCGGGCAGGGGAGTGCCCAGGACTCACTCGGCTCCGAGAGCCTGGAGCCCCTCCCTGTCACCACCAGACCCCCCAGGCCACTCCCAGGTCCTCTTCTGCAAGGAGCTGCAGGTGCCCTGGGGGCTGCCAGCCCAGTTCCTGCCCACAGGCAGGGAGGGTGTGGGCTAGAGGAGCTGTCCACAGGCCTCCAGGGGACAGGCTGTCAGCCACACAAACAGGGCAGCCACTCCCTGGCCATCTGCCTGTGACAGGGTGACAGCTGTGGGTCCCTCATGGTGAGAATTGGAACAGCCAGGTGTGAGCTCCTGGAGGACCCGGGGTGGAGATGTACACCAGGGGCAGTGTGTGTGGATGCATGCAGGGGTGTGTGTGTGTGCGCGCGTGCAGGGGTGTGCAGGTGTGCTGTGTGTGCAGGTTGTGTGTGCGCAGGTGTATGTGGCCGGGTTGGGGGGGGCAGGTGTGTGTGTGCGTGCAGGTAGGTGTGCGTGTGTGTGTGCAGGTGTGTGTATGTGGCCAGGTTTGGGGGGCAGGTGTGTGTGCGCGTGCAGGTAGGTGGGCGTGTGTGTGTGCAAGTGTGTGTATGTGGCCAGGTTGGGGGGGCAGGGGTGTGTGCGCGTGCAGGTAGGTGGGCGTGTGTGTGTGCAAGTGTGTGTATGTGGCCAGGTTGGGGGGGCAGGGGTGTGTGCGCGTGCAGGTAGGTGGGCGTGTGTGTGTGCAAGTGTGTGTATGTGGCCAGGTTGGGGGGGCAGGGGTGTGTGCGCGTGCAGGTAGGTGGGCGTGTGTGTGTGCAAGTGTGTGTATGTGGCCAGGTTGGGGGGGCAGGGGTGTGTGCGCGTGCAGGTAGGTGGGCGTGTGTGTGTGCAAGTGTGTGTATGTGGCCAGGTTGGGGGGGCAGGGGTGTGTGCGCGTGCAGGTAGGTGGGCGTGTGTGTGTGCAAGTGTGTGTATGTGGCCAGGTTGGGGGGGCAGGGGTGTGTGCGCGTGCAGGTAGGTGGGCGTGTGTGTGTGCAAGTGTGTGTATGTGGCCAGGTTGGGGGGGCAGGGGTGTGTGCGCGTGCAGGTAGGTGGGCGTGTGTGTGTGCAAGTGTGTGTATGTGGCCAGGTTGGGGGGGCAGGGGTGTGTGCGCGTGCAGGTAGGTGGGCGTGTGTGTGTGCAAGTGTGTGTATGTGGCCAGGTTGGGGGGGCAGGGGTGTGTGCGCGTGCAGGTAGGTGGGCGTGTGTGTGTGCAAGTGTGTGTATGTGGCCAGGTTGGGGGGGCAGGGGTGTGTGCGCGTGCAGGTAGGTGGGCGTGTGTGTGTGCAAGTGTGTGTATGTGGCCAGGTTGGGGGGGCAGGGGTGTGTGCGCGTGCAGGTAGGTGGGCGTGTGTGTGTGCAAGTGTGTGTATGTGGCCAGGTTGGGGGGGCAGGGGTGTGTGCGCGTGCAGGTAGGTGGGCGTGTGTGTGTGCAAGTGTGTGTATGTGGCCAGGTTGGGGGGGCAGGGGTGTGTGCGCGTGCAGGTAGGTGGGCGTGTGTGTGTGCAAGTGTGTGTATGTGGCCAGGTTGGGGGGGCAGGGGTGTGTGCGCGTGCAGGTAGGTGGGCGTGTGTGTGTGCAAGTGTGTGTATGTGGCCAGGTTGGGGGGGCAGGGGTGTGTGCGCGTGCAGGTAGGTGGGCGTGTGTGTGTGCAAGTGTGTGTATGTGGCCAGGTTGGGGGGGCAGGGGTGTGTGCGCGTGCAGGTAGGTGGGCGTGTGTGTGTGCAAGTGTGTGTATGTGGCCAGGTGGGGGGGGGCAGGTGTGTGTGTGCATGCAGGGAGGTGTGCGTGTGTGTGTGCAGGTGTGTGTGGTCAGGTTGGAGGGGCAGGTGTGTGTGCGTGCAGGTGTGTGTGTGTGCGTGCAGGTGTGTGTGTGCGTGCAGGTAGGTGTGCGTGTGTGCGCGCAGGTGTGTGTATGTGGCCAGATTGGGGGGGGCAGGTGTGTGTGCGTGCAGGTGTGCGTGTGCAGCTCTGCAGAAACCTCACGCTCTGGCCCCTCTCCCAGCTGCAGGCCGACCCCGCCTGCCTCGGGGGTCTCACCCTTTTGGCGTCTGCCGTGTGCCCGAGCTGGCCGGGCGGGGACAGCGTGGACGCGGTGAGGTCACTGGGGTCTTCACGGTCCCGGATCTTCGCCTCCTTCATTAGGGAATCCAGTTTCTTCTTGGCAATGTTTTCCACACGCTTCAGATTGGTGGAGGCCTGCAAGAGGCGGACGGCCAGCCCCTCGGCCTCGGTCCCCAGCTCGCGGGCAGCAGCGGGGACAGCGTCCAGTCTCGGGCAGGGCCAGCACCACTTCAGGCTCACCCCACGTGAGCTCCAGCTCACGCCTGGAGCTGGCCCCAGGCTCGCTCCTACATCGCGTTGCTGTGCGCCCCGGCATGTGATTCGTCCCGGGGCCTCAGGCAGTGCCGTGCAGGCCCTGAGCCCAGGCCCATCTGATTCTAACACCTGTCTCCTTCAGGTGCACGATGCTGCCCGCCAGACCAAGTGGACCGCTCACCGGGCACCCGGCGGCCACTCTGGGCTCTGAGAGCCGCTCAGCAGCTCAGGATCTGGGAACCCGCCACCAGCCACCGTGCGCCTCAAGGAGATGGATGGGGTGGGGACAGCACCCAGCGTGGCCCTGACCAACCTGGACCCTCCAGGCAGGGCCTGGGCCTTGGGCATCTGGGCACCCCCGTGCCCAGCCAGGCGGGACTGGGTGCAAGGTGGCCACCACAGACAGAGTGTTTACTATCACCCCTGGCCAGGCAGGGAAATGTGCAAACCCACCCAGAGCGGGAGGAATCCACTGCCTCAGGGCTTTCTAAAACAATTAGCCAGCCGCACAATTATTCTCCCATCCGATGGCCCCTCAGGGAGAAATAATACCTTGGCGGTACCCAGAAGAGGGAAGACGCTAATTAGAGAGTCCCTCCACCCCCCCCCCCGCCTGCCCCGTGGCTGCTCAAAGCCCTTGTGGACTCCTCAGCCTCCCAGCATTGCCCCTGGTCCCAGCGACTCTCTGAGAAGAGGTGACAGCCGCTAGCTGGGAACTCGGGGTTCGTGTCCTGTGTGGAGGGGTGGTTAGGGGAGTGCCCCACTGGCCCAGGGCGAGTGCATGCCCAGCAGCCTGGCAGCTTTGCAAATCACCCTCAGAATCTGCCCCATGCCCCTCTGTCCCTGCCACCTCCCTTCTACAACAAGGCTTGAGCTGGCTGTTCAGGTCTGCAGCTCCCCCGGCCCCCAAAGCCCCCCACTCCCACTCACATCCCCGTTGAGGAGCTTGCAGTCATCATCGATCTCGTCTGCACTGTCCTCATCAGACACCTCGCCCTCCTCAGCATCCTCGCTGATGCTGGCTGGGAGCTTCTTGCCCTGGGGGAGGAGGTGGACCTTGGCAGGGGCCCTGGGGGAAGTGCTGGGGGGCCGGCACCCGCAGGAGCAGCAGCAAAGCATAGGAGCCTTTCCCAAGCTTGCTTGTGGCTCTCAGGCTGGGGGCAGGGCCAGCCCACCCATCCTTGCGGCAGCGGTGTGGGAGGGACATGCCCGGGTGTGCATGCCAAAGGCCCCAAGTTGATTGACCGCCACGGTGAGATGGAGGCCAGGTCAGGGGCAGGGCTTGCCCTGTGGCCCCTCAAATCTATCATAGATGCTGCAGAACCCCAGCCTGTCTGGAGCAGGGCCTTGCCCTTGACCTGACTGCAGGTTAGAGGTCGGAGGTCAGAGGCTCAGCAGGACGCTGGCCCCAGGAGGGGTAGGCAGGGGCTCACCTTCACCAGGATCTTGCCCTTGAGCATCTGTGGAGAGGGTAGCATGGTGGCATCCTCACTGCTTACTGATGACAAGTCCAGCTTGTCCCCAAGGATGTCGGTCAGATACTGGGCCATCTTCTTCTGCTGGACGACACTGCAGTGGTTCTCGATGGACAGGATCACTGGATACCTGTGGCCCCAAGAGGGGAGGAGCAGAATGAGGCCAGGGGAAGGCTAGGTCTCACCTGTGCAGGCCTGCAGGCCACCTGCACCACTGAATGAGGAGGAGTCTTCACAGGAGCCCAGGATAGACGGGGCTGCCAGCCACTCTGGGAGGGGGCCCACCAATGGCTTTCCAAAGCAAGTGAGTGTGGGGGAAAGGAGCTGGGAGACCTTAGGGATGGGTAGAGCAGGCATGAAATTTTTCTCCCAATAAGAAAATAACAAAGGCAATTAGAAAATCCAGGAAAAACAAAAGGAAACGTTCAAGCAAGTCACGGTTTGAAAATGACGTGGGGGACCTCCCTGGTGGTCCAGGGTTAGGGCTCTGCACTTGCACTGCAGGGAGCCCAGGGTTAGGGTTAGTCCCCCTCTGGTGGGGGAACTAATATCCCACAAGCCACACAGCACGGCCAAAAAGAAATGGCGTGGACTACACCGAGGTGCAATGTGGAGCAAAGGATAGACTGTGAGAGAGATAATCCCATTCACCGAGATACGGCAGACGCTGTCCTGTGCGCGGCCCTGGGGCCCAATAAGGAGGGACACATAGCCTGGTACACACCATCAGGGGAACATCATTATTACCTACGTGCTGCAGAATGGGGAGTGCAGCGTGTGGATTTTCATGATAAGTTCTTCAGTTGTTTGATTTATTTCTTTGGTCATGTGCACATCTACTTGGATTGTTGCCAAAAGGCAACATAATCCTTTTAGAAAATGTAAATGACCCAGACCTAGAAGTCATAAACTAGAGCAAGAGGTGGGTGAGTCCTGCCATGTGAGAGGCACGGCCTGGGGCAAAGGTCCTCCCCTCCCCATTTCCCAGTCAGGGGACCGAGGCCTGGGGGAGGACCTTGTGCCCACAGAGATTATGCTGGCATGGGAGGTGCAAGCCCCGTCCTGAGACCCCAGCAGGCCCCTGGCTCCTTGGCAGCTACAGGAGACCTGTGTGTCCCAGCCCCCCTGCCCTGAGACGCCCCCTCACCTGCAATTCCAGAGGCCAGAAGGCCCTGCAGAGGTCCCTCACTCCCACTCCCTTCCAAGACAGAGCCTGTGCCAGGTCTTCCCGGAGGGGCACCTCTGTTTCTACCTCTTAAATCAGTCTCGCTTCCCCTCCCGCCTCCTTCACTCTCACCTGGGAGCCTCACTGAGCTGAGACTCGAGGGTAACAGTGTGGGGAGGCCGTCTTCTATTCCCAGAAACTAAACTGGATTTTGTTCAACAGTGTCTCTAGCCGTTCTGAGTGACAGCAAGTTGAGTCTGGACACAGAGTAACTTCTTAAGGGCAATTAGTGCCGGAGCCACCACTGTGAAAGGCCTCTGACACCAGGTGTCTGTGGCCCGGGGCCGCCGACACACACACCCTGCCTGGCCCAGCTTTTGCTCCTGCGTCCACCGCCTTCCCTCTCCTCTGCCCCTGCCCCTCGTCCTCAACAAGAAACCAGCCGCCAAAATGTTGCACTGCTCCGCAGAAAGGATGTACAGGAGGGGCGGGATGAGGTCCTTGAGCCCCTCCCC